CTGATTTTGCTCATGTATGTAAAGGTTGTTATATAAATTTGGCTATTTGAACGTTGAAATGCGAAATGAACTTTCACAGTCATTTGAAATTCTTTAAACGACGTTTTTGGAAATATATTTTCCGAAGTGGTCTGTAAATGGTTCTGTTAGTTCGGCCGTTGTTAGAGAATTTCGTAGCATTCTGTAGCACAATTTGGAACAAAAGGTACTCGAATAAGTTTTTTACGTTCCCAATATTATTTATGTGTACTGTCTGAAAAGTAGATTCAGAGTTAAAAAAGGTCAACTATTCTAATCAAACGGAATTGTTGGAAAAGTTAGAAAATTCTGTCTCAATCCTTTGTCTTTGTTCTAGAAAAATTTAAAAATGAAAAAAGAAAACTTGGGTAGTAAAGATTTACCCCTGAAGTCAATTACGTCAATTCTGTTTTAAATAAAAATGTAAAATTATCATCAGGTTTATTCACAGTTTAGGCGTATCGACTTTCTAGACTGGATCGACTTTAAACGGTTACCTTATGACTCAGCGTTAGACTGTGTCCACGGAAAATATCGCAGTGGGACAGTCGTTTTATCGAGTGCCGTTCGTTCCATGTGCACACACGACCTTGAGGGCCCATCGGATAACCACAGGAGGCATTAATCTCGCAGCAGACACGCGCCAGACGGGGCCCCTCGGAAGGGACCGCCGATATCCGACGGAAATTCATACAACCGTTGGGATTTGGACGAGATCGGCTGCGTAATTCAACAGAGGAAAAGAGGTCTCCATCGTGACCCGCAACCTCGTAACCTTCCTGGAGGCAAACAGGTGTTTCACGAAACATTAAAAAAATATAAAATTAGTTCGAAATTAGATACATAATACGATTCACTTTAATGTTTTACACTATCTATAACTCTTTGTCATATTATAAACAAATTAATAATATGTTATAAAAAATATTGCAACTATAAATTGAGATATAAACTTATTTCCGGTGGTAGGGCCACGCAGCAGCCTCGGCTGTTGCACGAAGGGGCAGGCTTGTCTCAGTAAGTACCACGACGACCGGCGTAATGTGGAAGTATAATACTTCCGCGTTTCGTCTGGTGAGTGAGGTGGCTGGAGCCCAATTTTCAAAAAGGTTGTCAACGCATCTGCAACCCTCGGGTGTAGCAGATTTCCATGGGCGGCGGTATTCACTTAACATCAGGTGAACCATCTGCTTGTTTGGCAACTTTTCACATAAAAAATATCCTATCTCTCAAGTTGGATCAAACTGCACACGGTTTAAAAATTTAATTAAAATCGGTTTAGTAATTTAGGAGTCCATCGCGGTTAAACAACGTGACACGTAATTTATAATACACATGTCACTCAAAAGAGTTGGCAAATGTTGTTTACTTTTTACTATCTTTGCACACCTATTTCACCATTTTCGCAAACACTACACGCATTATTTTTATATGTGAGAAGCTAAGCCAGCTGACGATTCACCTGGTGTTAAGTAATAACCGCCGCCCATGGGCATTTGCAAGTCCCGTAGGGTTGCAGATGCGTTGCCACGTTTTTATAAAGTGCGCTCACTCACCAGTCGAAATGCAGAAGAAGAACACTTGTACTTCCACGATCTACCCATTCTTGCAACAGAGAAGAGTTTTGCGTGGCAAACATTTAGAAGTTAAAACAAAAGTCTAGCAAACATAAGGAACATTAATGCTTTAACATGCAGTTTTTTTTTTTTTTTTTTTTTTATTTTACTTGAGCCAGATTATTTATTCAATGAGAATTTGGTTTTAAATCTGCTTGTTACATATTAATATGCATGAAGCATAGCAACGGATACTGCCATATCAGGTGGTTCAAGATCGCAGTGACTCCAATGGTTCAAGACATGGTCTTAACGAGATATATAACATAATCTGGAGTCCGTATGGACACAATCAAACTTTTCAAAGTTGTTGATAATCATTGCACATTGTTGAAACCATTGGTGTGAAGTATTATTAATGAAGGCATAACATATCATATAACTACATAACGAACACACTGTAGCTCTATTACAGTTTTCTTATTTGTTACATAACGAAAACATTGTATTTGACAGTTTTCATACTTGTCATAATTTATTTTATTCTATACTTTTCCTCTTCGTTTCCTCAAATACTCATATAATGATAACAATACCAAATTTAATTTTATTAAAATATTGCTTAAAATGTATGCTTTAATAACATACTTTACTTTTACTTACCTTTTAGTAACATACTTTAAGTATACCTGAAATATGTATGTGTTGTTATATTTATACGAAATCTATATTTGTAGTATGTATATTTATGCGAGACAAATACTTGAGGCAACCGTTTTAATCGACTGGGTCAGATGGAAATTAGTTCAACTTATCCATGACGTACCTCTAAGCATACCATGAATGTATAAATGTAAATAATACATCCTATAACGAATTATGAACAGATATTTGTGCAAGGTGTCGCCTCAAATTAAGTAGAGACAACGTAGCGATGTCGTACATATTCATGAAAGCCCGAACGTGCATTAATAAATTATTTCAAGACGTAAATTTTGATCAGAACGACGACCTAAGCCTTTCCGTATGTTCCTTGTACTTTAGATTAGAACTTGACAGACGCTTGAATCATTGATTCCCAAATGATGTTTTTAACACCGATGTGCCTATTGCAGTTTAATATCATTTTTGCAACAAAGTCGCACTTAGCTGAGATTTAGACGATGTGTTAACGATTTCATACTAAACAATTTGCCTTATCCCGTAATACTATCATAATTTTAGCGTCGTAGTTGACATATTCGTAAAACGATAGAGTATGGCGCTGTGTTAGAGTGATATGTGTCCCAATAACTGAGTTTTAAATTACATGTATTTTACTTTCATAGCAGTAAACCGTCTGCAAGACTTCCTCTTTTATTTATAAAAATAAATGTGTCACTCTAACCCGGTGAATTTTGTTTTCACACACACACCTCATAAAGTTCCAAATCATTCGATGACACCGCGCAATATACCTATTATGTACCAATATTTATTTATCTTATTTACTAACCACACATAAGATCTACGGTGGTAGGGCCATGCAGCAGATTCAGCTGTTGCACGAATGGGCAGGCTCGTCCGGGTAAGTACCACGACCTCACAGAAGACCGGCGTCAAGTGGAAGTATAATACTTTCGCGTTTCGTCTGGTGAGTGAGGTAGCCGGAGCCCAATTTTCAAACGGTTGTCAACGTACCTGTAACCAAAAAAAAAAGAAAAAATATTCACCATGAGATAACATTATTTTTCAAAAAATGTACGTTTTTTTCTGTTCTTTTTCTTTTAGTTACACTTAACCTAAATTTAGATATAAGGGTTCGATACTAGTGATTTCATTTCAGACAGGCACTTAAAGCTCTTGATTGTGTTATTTTGTTACATCGGCACGCTAATTGACATCTTGAAAAGTCTGACCCCTTAAACAGTATCCTGATACGAGTCTTAATTACTACCTTTTAACTGATATATATTTCTAAGCGTAGGATTAAAACAGGAAAAACGCCCAATCATTTCAACAATAATTTCCTACAAATTTTGTCCGAAACTAAGTACATGCCAGTAGATATAGTTATTCTTGTAACTTGTTATTTAGCATTCATTCACTCTTGTTGAAAGCTTTGTCACTTACCGCCCCTTCGAAAATCAACGTTATATCTTACAATTATTTTATTTTTATCTTTATTTTTTTATTTTATTGAGTAACAAAATCCACAGCCTTTAGTTTTTTTTACATGTATATCACATAATATGCTTAACTTACAGCCAAGAAAGGATTCACATTTTATAGTTAGAATATATAGAATAATAATTGAGAAGTTTAGGAGTAAACAATGTTTAAAAAATTAAGCCAGTAATATATATTATATACAAATAATACAAACTTTATAATACAAACTATCTTTTACTAAGGAAGTGTGTTCTTACTAATGCCATAGTCACTGAATCATAACCATGCAATTGTGTTCAATTTATAAAATTTTTTATTTCATTATATAGTTTGTACTACGCTAACATTTTGTTGCAATACATAAAACATTTATACAAATATAACTAACATTTACGTGTGTATAAAACGAAAGTTTTCTAAGCGACCCAAGAACAGCAATTTAAGAATCAGCAATTCTTGTGTAAAGAAACAGTGGTAAATAAAAAAAATATTTATTTCACTTCCTACTTAACACACATCTGTATGTCTTCCGAAATGAATTCTATCGTTTCTGCTCTACCCTGACTCTACAACGCTACTGGATGCTATATTATACCATCTTAGTGACTAATCCAGTTACAATTGTAATCTGGAGGTCAACTGGTTGTACAGAACCTATCCTGCCACAACCTCTGAAGTTAGCCTTAGATTTTCCACTTGAATTCCTAGAAGTAAAATAATTAGTATCATTAATAACCGCCTGAATTTCATCGGCATCACTATTAAGTGATGCCGATGCAATAGTTTTTACTGAGTTATGTGGTTCAATTTATGTTAATTGACTACTGACAAGCATTGACAGCCATACAAGTCATAGATTAGTAGCTGTAATGTCATTATTTATTTATTTATTTATATTTTATTGTACACCAAAAATGAATGTAAATGGAAGTACAATAGGTGGTCTTATCGCTCAGAAAGCGATTTCTTCCAGACAACCACTGCGGAAAGAATTTTTGCTAAAGATACATAAAGAAGAGAGCAGAAGGAGGTGTACATGAATCACTAATGAACACAGGATGAAGGCATTTACTACCAAGCTTAGGAAAGCCAGTAACCTCACTCATCAGGGGAAATGCAAAAGTATAGAAACACTTCTTCTAGTTCCTGTCTTTCTGTGTACGGGTTGTGCGCTTTTGATAAGGGAATTCTTCGTGCACTTCTTCCGTCCTATTTTAGAGTGGCACCGGTATAAATAGACCATATAACCGGCCCCGTGATGTAAGGTATCTCGTAATGGATAGGGTAAGAGCACAAATCGTCGCCGCCCAGAGTAACGGGCCCGCCACGCTAGAGCTGGCCCCGCCTCACGTCCATTTATTCTACCATTTTAAAGACGGGGCGGGCGACACTATTAATAAACCTGAAGTGATTTCTATTTTTTTACACGGCTGTTAATGCACCGTGCTATGTGTCGCGCGGTGAAATGGAGCGCATGTGTCTCCACGTAACCGCGGCCGCCATTTTGAATAAATTTCTTGGGCGCGCGTGCGGCTGTCGATTGATTTTCTTTTTTTATCGCTAAGCCAGTAACACCGCGTACAGCCAAGAGATAAAACATTATCATGCATCAAATTATGATTAAAAATATAGTTGCAACTTAATACAGCATTGAATAGCAACAACACAAAACAAAAATTGGAATAAAGGCATTAATGCATTGTCAACCCTGTATTGATTTATTTTTATGTAATGACTGATTTAAAACCTCTTTTGTTTTTTATTTTCTTGGTATGTTGCTGTTGTTAGGAAGCTCACACTTTCGTCGTTTGCATTTCATCTTTCATTAAAACAAGTAGGTTTTAATGAAGAAACTTGTGGTTTTTTTGACACCCATAGACTTTTCATCATTACGAGGGTTGGAATTTTTAATCAACGGCTCGAAGTTATGTTGGACGAAAGTTCAATATTCATCAGTTGACTTTTGGTGAGGTATTTTAACACTGGGTGCGTGGCGATTTTTTTTAAATGACTGTTTCACGTTATATAACAGTATTTCCTAATAAGAGATTTCAATACTCAATTTGTGAGATTTTTCCAACAATTTGTTTACTGTTAGTGATAGGAATAATTAAACATATGTTAATTGATTTAGTAATAAACATTATTATTATCTCTAAAAACATTATTGTTAGTTTAGTTTTTGTATTTTTTCATAGAACTTTAGGCTAAACTTTTATTTTATTTAGGCATTTATTAATTTATTTATAAATCAGTATCAGAGCTCCATAGGCTGGCTAAACTCCTGGGTTAATTAATTAACTATCGATGATTATCATCAAGGATAAATAGGCCTTAGTGTTTTACCTTTTTAACGTCATCTGTGGCAGGGCCACGGAACAGTCTTCTCTGTTTCAGGAATGGGCAGGTCCGTCCGGGTAACTACTACGACCTCAAAGACGACCGGCGTGAAGTTTAAGTGTTATACTTCTGCGTTTCGTCCGGTGAGTGAGGTAGCCGGGGCCCACTATCAACGCATCTGCAACCCCACGGGTGTTGAAAATGTCAATCATCATTTCAGCCTGTTTGAGTCCACTGCTGAACATAGGCCTCCCCCATAGTCAATAAGGCAATGTCAATAAGAGGCGGTAATCCCTTAACGTCTGGTGAACCACCAGCTCGTTTGCTCTTTCTCGTATAGAAAAAAAAATAATCCGTTCTACTTGCTGAATTAGCACAAGAAAAACAAATTCAATTGTTAAATAACATCGCGCGATTGTTTTCGCAATCGAGATTGGATCCAAAGTCCATAGGGGCGGGATAAAAAATGCGTTACCGGGAAAATTTCCTCTTATGCCTGACCTTAAAGGATGGGCCCTTCCTTGGTAAACATAAAGATCCCGCACGGGACCCGGGATCTACGCGACCGTACAAAAATATCCGGGTCGAGTCGCTCTAGGGCCGGGCGGGTCGTGTGGCCGAGGTCAGTGCCGAGGCCTTGTCTTGATGATATGACTTTCTTAGGGTCAATGCACCCATCGCCGATTCACCAGTACACAAAACTTGAACAAAAGCTCCCGATAAAACATGCCGAACTTCACACATAAACGTACTCTAAAATCTACAATAAAAGCACTCAAAGACAACTAGGTAAATAACTACGTAACTCACTTAAATGTATTGTAAAATTCTTAAAATTTTCTTATACCCTCATTACGATAAAGGTCCCGAAATATTACCAAACCAAACTCACTTATAGTGATAGTCAACCACCCTGGTTTGGAAAAGAAAGCCACTATACTGAGAGGAACCGTTGTAATATATACGTTGTTCGTAAAATACTCGATTATATTGTGTTGATTAATTGTATTATCTTTCTGAACTTCACATATATACATAGGTACGTCATACTGTAAAATAGCCAATGAAAGCCTTCATATCAAATTCGGTAAGTAACAACATAATTCACTTAGATGTATTATAAAATTCCTGAAATGTCCTTATACCATCATTACGTTAAAGGTCAAGGAATATTACACACGTAGTTCGTAAAAAAAAAACAGATATGACTAAGTTAGCTTTTAGTGTGAATTGCACTTGAAATTCCGTATCTGGCATTGGATTCGTACAAAAACATCCTAAACACGCCATAATTGCGGACACGCAATGACTCAGCCATCCGAGCTGTGATGGGACACAATGTAACCGGACTGAATCACGGCGATCGACGCGAGCTTTTCCCGCGAATTCCAAATTTAAATTATTCGAACGCCGCCGCCATGATTGACGTTTCTTTGTGCAGCGGCACACAGTTTGACGATACACCTCTTTTTTCGTTTTGCAACATTGCAACTCAAATATCATGGGTATTGCCAGTGTGAAAATTTCTAACTTTTTAGTCTGAAGCCATTTATGTCTATACTAATAAATGACGAGCCATTTCTTTATTTGAGATGGTTTTAGTTTATATACTATATTATTTATATCATGCGAATCAGCCGAGCTATCAAAATTTTCACGAAAGACGTCGCGGGCGAATTGCTTTTATAATGTGGTTCTCCTATACCACATATTTTTTGCCGCTTTTATAGATACGGAACCGTTCCTACGCGAGTCCGACTCGCACTTGGCCGGTTTTAATTTTTTTTTTTCAGTTAGTTCGAAGTCATGCATGCGGATTTTATAACGATGTTGTCTAAATACAGTTACAGACATTGTTGTTTCCGATGAAATAGCTGGATCAATCCAATAAATCGGAACATATGTCCTCGAGATCGTTCGATAACAGAATTTCACCGGGTCTTAATTAGGCCAGCATGATAACTCGGTAGTAACTCTCGCACAATGACAATTGTTCCGTTCACAGGTCAATAATCGTCTCGGGAAATAAACCGGCACGAAGCGGTTGGGAATCAAATGATGTCTACCGCTAACACATTACAGTCGACTTTTGTGAGAAACAGTGGCCCAATTAGCAGACAGTACACCCGATGTTTTGTGATTACCGCTGCCCAACACCCAACACCCAGCACCCAACACCCAGCACCCAAAACCCAACTAACCAACCAACGGTAATTCCTACACAATCGGAATACAAAAGTAAATTATTGAACACACTTATTCCTAGCGAATTATTGCGATTCACAAAAACGGATCCTACATCAAAGACGCAAGTACTATGCCGTATGACGTTGTAAACATACCTACCTAATACTTACCATAAAATTAGACAATATTTAAAGCACAAGCGAATCCTTAGTAAAAAGCCAATATAAATAAATGTCGTTTGTCTTACCCAGGTTCGAAGAAGAACTTTTTAATACTCGAATACAAAGGGCATATGCGTAATAGCCCGCTCCATAGCTCGCTGAGCGACTTTGAGCTTCCTCATACGGCCAGCAGTGAAGGACCACGTCTCGGTTCCGTAGGTCATCACTGGCAACACACATTGATTGAAGACTTTAGTCTTCAAACATTGAGGTATCGAAGACATCCGCAGTAGAACAAAGGTAATCTACATAGCTCAGGGGATTAGTAAGTTGAAGTGGCAATTGGCCAGCCATATAGCTAGAACAACCGATAACCGATTAGGTAGAAAGGTTCTCGAGTGGCAGCCTCGTACTGGACATTGTAGGACGACCCCCCACTAGATGGAGTGACGACCTGTGCAAATGTGCGGGAAGTCGATGGATGCAGGTGGCTCAGGATCGTACTTCGTGGCAGTCTGTGGGGGAGGCCTATGTTCAGCAGTGGACTCAAACAGGCTGAAATGATGATGATGATGATGCGTAATAAATGCAACAACGCCTGACAGTTTCTGCCAGGTTCGTAGCGCTTGCTAGTTTTCAATAGAAATGTATATTTTTTTTATGGAAAAAGGAGGCAAAGGAGAAAGTGGGTCTCCTGACGATAAGCGATCACCGCCGCCCATGGGCATGTATAAAGTTCCCCGCTAAATGCTGGACCTCGACCGGGATAGAACGCGGGCCCGAGAGGCGAGCGCAACCCCGGCCGGGCGCTCCATTAAAATATATTGTTCTCAGCGCGGCCGCGCGGCGTCGTGCGTCAGAGGCATCATCCAGCTTCCGCCGCCGGCCGCGCCGGAAGGCGTAGCAATTTGCTCAATTAGCCCGCCGCACTGATTCCCCGCGAGCGATTTGATGGTGGATCACGAAGGATGTCAATGATTTTCGCGCTTTGTTCCTACTTCGCCGCCGGCCGACGAATGGACCTCGACGGCCAATAATCACTCGGTACATTCGTTTTAGTTCATCTTGGCCTCTCTCGATACGAGTGCTGTGAAGGAGATGAAGCGATAATCTGCCATTTCAATGATCATCAATTAGGGAAAAGATGAAACAAACCCATTATTTTTTTGATAAAGTATATAAGATAGTATAAATAAAAAAAAACACAAACAAAAACTAATGTTGATCTTATAAGCTGCGAAAACTTAATGTGCTTTAACGTTACTACTACTGTAATGAATTATACTGTGCTTGACGCGAAGGCACCTTGGTAAGAAACGATGCATGTCGGACGATTAAAATTATATATTAAGAGGACGTGAAGACTTTCAAAAAAGCATAGTAATACTAAATCTACTACGGAGTAGGCCTTGAGTATGGTGACTGTAAATAACAAATGGAAATAAATATTCTGTGTTTTCGTTTATGAGCGAAATACATGGGATAATTCTGAAATGAGTATAATAATTAAACAAACTCTGCATTAACAAAGCCGCATTATTACAATTACATACTCAAGAACTAACACGACGCATATAATCTTTAACATACTAAGTTATATATCTAATCAATAAATTATTTTAAACACAAAATGCCATGGGATAATGTAGTCAGCGTTGAAATTGTACTACAATCAGTCTTGTAGTCGACACATAACACAACATTAGTCGCTTCACGAACCAAAACTAACCGCGTACCGCGGCACCGCTTCATTGCTTTGAATTGAGCTTCCGTCCGAGTCGGAATAAAAGCCCCGCGTCCTCGACTCCCATTAAACAATACACAATCTGTGCCGACAGACGGACAGACTCGATATAATTGAGTTCTCATTTGTATTCCAAACATGATGTGTGCAGCGTTGAAAACGCTATTAATTGTTAAGAGGAAAATTCATATGTAAGATCTTTCGTGTTCATCTAGGATCTGTTGTTCATTTCCTTTATTATTTTTCTTTATTAGGTGGCAAACGAGCTCGCGGTTACCCTGATGTTAATTGATAACCACCGCCTATTGACATTTGCAACAGCCGTAGCATTGCAGTTAAGTAGGCTTTATATAAAACTGTACTCGTTTCAATTATTCAAGCTGTTTGTGTTAACTTTTTTTATGTTGACTGCAAAATAATGACACCGCATTAATAAACTGATTTACAAATAAATTATAGCTTTAAATTCACGTCATTATCAACGTCAAATAACCAGACTGTAAACCCCTCTTTTCACTAACTAGAGTGAAGATGCACAATTAGTACCACTCTTCTATAGCAATAATCTACCTCTTGATACGTAAGCCGCTCCGTCTTCAAGCTCTTCATGCCGCTTAACGAACTTCACCATCTCAAAGAAATACAGCGTTTCAGAGAGCTACAACTTTATGTATATAAACAATTCTTACCGGCCTTAGGGGTGGGTATTGACAGTACCGTAGGTTAAAATATAAAAGACGACTTGTGTAATAAGCAATATAATTCTACCAGGTCGGATTTGTAAAGGTTTAAATCAATCCCTTTTAAAGAAAAATAAACTCTACCTCACGACTCTACATAATTGCCCATTAAAAAATAACTCGCGGCGTCTCAAGCGTAAGCGGATAAGTAGAAATTTCTCCAATATCGCAATCCGCTCGATCCTTCGAACGCCTATAAATAACCAATCGCCTAGTAACGAGAGGCTTTCTGGGCAATTTACTCCTCGTCAGCCACCCTCGCCCTAGCGGACGAGTGCAATCTAAGTCTAACTACGTCACACCTGTTGTAACCTTGACGACGAATCCCGATCGAAGAATATTCGGGGTGGGATGCGTTAACGAGCGCATTTTCATTTGATCCCCGCTCGGTAACATCTTCGTGTTGCGTGTGCTTTTGTGTCTTCCGTTTGTGATCCACACCAAACGAAAAAATAAATGCTGCCTCTTTATCGATACAAACAAATATCGAATGCAATTGTGATTACATAACATGATGACTCCGTGGCGCAGTTGTCCAGGTATTGGCTTCAGCGTCGAGGCTCGTGGGTTCGATCCCCACACGTGACAACTATTTGTGTGACCCACAGAAAGTTGTTTCGCACCTGAGTGTTTGTCCGCGTGAAATTTGTGTTTTTAAAACGCGCTTACAACACAGGATAATGTTATCTAATAACGGTAATTTGATTACTCAAAGAGTTTTTATATATTTGATTATTACTCTTTGAGTAATTAAATTACATTACATTTGTGTGTCTTGGCTATAAATCGATTTGAGTGTTTCAACTCTTGATCTCAAAACTTTACAGTAGTATAAAATTTAACTCTGGAGGTAGAATAAGACAATATTTTGCAGTAATAATAATGTTTTTTGTTTGATGAATCAGAGCATGAAGTGTCAAAACGTTTCATTTACTACGCTGATTGTAACATTAACTCTAACTAGATGAATTCCAGTAAACCTGGTAGTTCTTGAATAGGAGAAAAATTTTGCCGAGGAAAAATATTTAACATAATAATCTGTGTATTCAATGTACACACAATTGTAAATGCGATATTTCTAACAAACGTCGATCGCTTAACACACAATTATGATGTAAAATATAAATATTCTTCAAAGTTAAACAAAAATCATTGTGTATTATTAAAGTTACAACTACGAGTAAGAACAACTTTACTAGTTAAATGTTTAACCTAATTTATTTTCTTTTATTGAATAACTTGTGATGCACGATTCGTATGCCTTAATAACGCAATTGATTGCTTCCAAATTTACGGGCTAGTGAAATTTAAATAGAATAACTTGCATCAAAATATACGATTTGAGTTAAGATAACTTTAAAAAGATATTTATAAAAGGTAATAATTTTGTTTTTATAAAAGAAAAGTTCGTAAAAGTCAATTATGAACGTTTTACCGACGCATCCAATTATGCACCGTAATAACAATTGGGGCTATACAATTTCCGCCACAAATTATTCTAAACGCCATCTGTCGTTGGGTAGCGGCACTAAATTAGCAACAATTCGCTAACGGCTTGCAAAAACCGTTCAAGTCGGCGCGAAACAAAACAAATTCCGGTTAAGTTCGTTATTTTACTGTAGAGATTATAATACGAGATTATCTTTGTGCCTTTATTATCTGTTGGCTCATGCACCTGCTGTTTTAACCGATTTTAAATAACTGACGCTCCGATCCATCATGGTAACTCAAAGCACCACGAACATATTTTAGCCGTTAAGTGTGTTGTAATGTTCTTTTATGCCTTTTATTAATACTGTAACATCACAATGACCTAGAAATGAATATGTAATTATATTTGACACGGTATTATGAAACAGTGTTCGTAGTTATTACCCAATAAAGTTTAATTTTTTTTAAATATTTATACCTAGCGAAATTTAAACAATCGACAAGATTAAGAGTGTATGGTATATTTGTAAAATGTTTTTTTTTTTACTTTTAACGAAATAACACATAAAATTATATGCATATGCACACGCATAATTCATTTTGATTTGAAAAAATTCTCAATGTTTTAACTTAAAGTTAAAATCGTTGAGCACAAAAGAATTCCAATATATTTTGTTAAAGGATTTAATTTCATAATACTATCACTCATAAATCTCGTTTCATTTTATTAAAATGTGAAATAAAACTTAGAAGAGGTTACTAAATCTGAATATTTTCGAGTATTTTTTATAATGTTATGATTTCTCCTGTAAGCTTTACAATAGCTAGATGTTAACAGAAGGTATCTAAAGCAAATAATGAGATTATTTACTAGTTCTCTTTTCCCTTTACTATGACTTAACTAATGTCACTGACGGGTTCGAACCCAGGGCACTCGCGTGATCAATAATCATTTTGCATAATAATAACCAATAAACACATTAGTCAGTTCCTGTCATTACCACGGCTGTCAATAGCCATGATAATATCGACATTTTTAATTCGATTCTTGAAATAAACACAATGCAATACTATAGTAATTGGGGACGTCGGCTCTCTCTGAAAAGAGAGAAAGATTCTCTATGAAAATGTTATGCAGAAATCACGTTCTAGCCCATATTTCACTCTATTTGCAGACTTTGCAGGCTCTGTGAAGATAGTATTAGCTAGATAGATTGTAGATCCATCTACCGCGTTCAGATTAACAGACATGATAGCTCTTGTTTCCGTAAACAGTGCCATATCTGCATCTCGGTGTGATGAACGGAGAAAGATCGCGTGATGTACGCGACCTGCCCCAACCAGTCCATACATTACGTACACGCCACATTACGAGAACCGCCCACGCGCACGACTCAATCTCATAACCGTTAAATCGCACGTGCCCTCAGATTTCACAAACCGTTTAACCGTCATTCATTGGAAGGAAGAGCTACACGCAACACAATCCGACAGTACGCGTAAAATTGATAACGGAATTAAAGCTTTAGCACCACAAATGTTGCAAATGGAAATAGAAGAGAACGGTATTAGAAGGTTTCCCGTAAGTTTCTCATCTTCGTTATTGATCGATAATATTACATTAAAACGTATGATACCAATACTCTCATAGTAATACTAAATATACCACTACTAAATCGTAATAGTGACATATTACTCATTATTCAGTACTTCGACTCACCCTATATCCTCTTGCTACGAAATAAGTTCTCAAAGTGGAATCATAAAAACAGTCCAGGCTGTTAAGAAATAAGAATAAAGGAATGATCGCCTATTTTAATGGAAGAGAGCGCCGTTGAACTCTACGTTTGGAATTACACAGTAACGCGCGCGACTGTACACACGCAACGCTGTGTAGTGCCAACGTCAAATTATTAATTACCCGGTAAAACGGACACGTCGCTATCTATTGTAATTAGTTAACGGCAACCGGTTGCGAGTTAGACA